GCAGCATGATTACAGCAACCTTGCTATTGAATATATATAGGAGTTTGAAATGGAAGATGTGGAGGACTCTATCATTGATATTGACAGCAATGATTCGAAAGATCCACTTGCAGTTGTTGAGTATGTAGATGACATCTATGCTCATTATAGAGAAACTGAGGTAAGTTTTAATTAGTTGTTCCAAATATGGTTTTTATATACATGTCCACATGAATTTATTTAAATTTGTTGTGTGAATGCATTCCTAAAGATAAATTTTGCCAATGAGACAATTTATGGCAGACTAGGTGGAGTAACATTCGATTGAATCATTGGTGATCATTGAATTTTGAGTTACTTATCAGAGGTTGTTTGTGCAGGTTTCTTACTGCGTCTCTCCAAATTACATGGGCAGGCAATTTGACATTAATGAAAAGATGAGGGCCATCCTCATTGATTGGCTTATTGAGGTATATGTCCAACCTCAGTTGTTCTCTCAAGGTGGTTAGGGAGGAACTATCAGATACATACTTGCAGATTTCAAACTTAAAAGTTCTTTCAAATGCTATAAAACAGAATTCAGTAGTTCTGTCTCATTAGAAAGATGTATTATTGACCCAAGAATTTCTTAATTTGACTTTAACAACAGGTTCACTACAAATTTCAGCTTATGGATGAAACATTGTTCCTGACCATCAATCTCATAGACAGATTCTTGGAGCATTGCACAGTGATCCGAAAGAAGCTTCAATTGGTTGGCATGACAGCTATGCTATTAGCATGCAAGTATGAGGAGGTTTCTGTCCCATTAGTGGAGGATTTTGTTCTGATTTCAGATAAGGCTTATACGAGAAAGGATGTTCTAGATATGGTATAATTTCCTAGTGCAAGAGTTTTCAGTGCCTGCTTTCTCTATTTTCCTTCTATTTAATAGTTCTGCTGTGTTTCTAGGAGAAATTAATGGTGAACACTTTACAATTCAACATGTCCGTGCCAACTCCGTATGTTTTCGTCAGGAGATTTCTCAAGGCTGCACAATATGATAAAAAGGTAAATTAAAGACTTCCATTAAATCAGTCACTACAAGGTTGTTAAGCCTTTTGTCATTTAATCTTCACATATTATACTGATGAGATATATTTTACCCCCGGTATCGAACCAGCTGGAATTTCTCTCCTTCTTCCTCATTGAGCTGTGCCTAGTGGAATATGAAATGCTCAAGTTCCCACCATCTCTGCTAGCTGCAGCAGCAATTTACACAGCGCAGTGCAGTATTTGCCGGTTCAAAAATTGGAGTAAGACCAGCGAGTGGCATACTAAATACTCAGAAGATCAGCTACTGTAAGTTCTGACATCTGGATTGCGGCCTAGCTTTTGTTATACAAAGTTTATCAATAATGATGAAGGATGCTTGTTATGTTCCAACAGGGAATGCTCAAAATTGATGGTTTCTTACCATCAGAAGGCTGGATCAGGAAAACTCACTGGAGTTCACAGAAAGTATAGTGCATACAAGTTTGGGTATACGGCAAAATCTGAGCCAGCACAGTTTCTCCTGGGCCTTTGACACAACTGCTAGACGGTTAAGAATGTTAGGTTGCAACATCAAGCAACTCAACGACAGAAGATGAGCATCTTCATTGTGAAAACTAAAAAATCTGTATTCATTAGTGGCATTATCTTTGAACTTTGGAGAGTTCTAACCTCTCCCATTTCTGATGAACTCTTCAGAATTCTAAAGCAAGGATTTTCCTTTTTCCCATTCATTCTTCAACAGTTACGTTTGCAAGTGTTATATGGATAAAAATAAAAGAAAACAATTATGTAAAATACTCATCAAAACTTAATAATGAAATGACTGAAATAATACATATAGAATGAGTATTATAAACCTTTGACAAGAGCATTTAAGGATAATGCCTGAGAAATATAGCATTCTTTTTGAATAAAGTGAGAACTCTAGCTGAAGCTTCCAATCTTAATATTTGTAATAAACCAGCTGGAATAACACCGCTTCGGAATGTCCCCACTTGGAAACGAATATTCAATCTTTCCATCGTTAAGGTAGAAAACACCAGATTGAGGAGAAAACCCCTTACATAACATACAAGATCCAGTACTTCCTTTCAATTCAACAGACACACCCGTAGTAGACCAAATCAATAACAGACTCACCCACATTAAACCAATTATACAGAACAGACCGCCCAACTGAGCCTTTGTGAGGCGTTCATGCTATCTCCCTATTATGTTTCACAGCCACCACCTTGGTTTAGAAATTAAAAGCATCCCAAGTTAGTCCAACACCGCATATGGTTATGCCCCATATCAAAGCACAGAGGGTACACCAACACTAAACTGGCCGATTCTAGCTTCCCATTGATGCCACTGAAATTCCAGAGCCGATAAATCCCTATCTGTGCAAACACCTAATGGAAGGGATAAGCAGTATCCACCATCTAAAGACCGCCTGTGGTCATTGTGACTACAGCAAAACATCATACAGCACATCCCGTGAACCCAACAGACATTCCAACATAGCATCAACAAGCCTTTCATCCACAACAACACACAATATTTCTTACATAGACAAAAACTGACCCTGCCAATAAACAGGGAACCTGCATCTATTTTGGTTTGTTTGCTGCAGGATCATCTATATGCATAGGGCAAATTAATTTTAAAGTCATTTCACGCTATGCTAATTCTAAGTTGTTAGTTTCCATATGGTTCATCATTATCTACCACAAACAGCAAAGAGCGAGTCAATAAACATAAAGTTCTCATCTTCAGTTTTCCCACTAAAAATGCTTAATTGCTTGTTCCCTGGCCTGCAGTTTGGCCGACGCTGTAGGAGTCTCATAACAATCAAAGGCTCTAGCAACTATACATTCTAACGTTGTGTTCTTTTGGATTGTTTAGATTTTGTAGAAATTGGCGATAACAGGAAATTGTGAATAGAGAAGGTAGTTGGTGTACCTCTCTTGAAATTGGATTGAATAAAAAGATATCTGATTCAGGAAAAGATTTCTGAGGTAACAAAAGAACTTGGCCAACTGAAGGATTCTAGCCCTGTATTGCTACTTTGCAATAAGCCAAACTTATGGGATAAAAGGCAAGGATATTCGTCGGCCATAAGCAACCAACCTTTGAAAGATCGACCCGAGGCACACAGTCCCTTGCAATCGCTTAGGTAGTTGTGATATTCATTAGTGGGATTCTCTTTGAACTTTGAAGTACACTCCTAACGTTCCCAATTGTTCAGAAGCAAAAGCAAGACTTTCCCTTTTCCCCCATTCATTCTTGAATTCTCTCCAAGATTGACAAATTGTTTGCAAGTGTTATATGGATTAAAATAAAACAAAACAATTATAGAACTACTCACGAAAAAAATAAATACGAGGACGGTTGAACAATTACATATAAAAGGAGTATTATAAATGTGACAAGAGACAATTTAAGGATAAAGCCAAAGAAATATAGCATTATTTTGGAATAAAGGGAGAAATCTAGCATTTTAACCACAAAACTCTAGTTGAAGCCTCCAATCTTAATATTTGGAAAAAAAACCAGTTGGAATAACGGTGCTTTGCAATGTCCCTGCCTGGAAACGAAGGTTCAATCCTTCCATTGTTAAGGTAGAAAATGCCACATTGGGGAGAAGTAGTTAATTTCCGACCGTCATCTGAAACAACAAATGAATCTCTCAAAAAGTAGATGCAATTTTTATCAAAATTTTCACTTGGAAGGGATGCTTTATCTATTGCACTGATGAACAAAATTTGATCACCTAAGTTGCTTAACCTCCTTAAGCATAGTGTGTCATCACTTGCTTCAACCTTGAATGCTTGGAATGTTGCAACCCGATAGTATGAAATTTGAGGCTGGCCATGATCGTCCACTTCCTTTGATAATTCAAGAACTAACAACAACTCACCCAATTTGGCATTACCTTGGGGTATTTAAGAAAGATTGGGTAAATGATCTCGAACTTCGGAAAAGAGATTAGTTTGAGAATAACATCATGTTCATCTGCTAATTTCATGAAATGAGTTTGAATTTGAAAATTTGTCTCATTGTAATGAAGGCATACAATATGTCATTGTAGAAGGAAATAGTTAGGAAACTATTATTATTAGCTGCGCCTAGCCCTTCGAATATGGTCCAACTCTTATCCTTTGGTCTGCACAGTGCCAAAATCTTTCCCCCATTAAAGCTTGCTGCAACCACGGATGGGGTGCGGTAGAAACCAAGCGGGTTGAGGAGTTTGCTTTAGGGCTGAACCCCATTGTTTGCATACGACGCTGGCATGAACACGACCCACTAATGGGAGGTGCTGATCGATGCAAAGCTCTTTGACTTGTACGTTAGCACAATGTAGTAGAAGAGAGAAAATTAGAGAGGCAAAGAGATTTGAGAATGTACATACCTAATTTAAAGTTTAATTATTGATACTATTTCAATGTATAAATAAAGGATGGATTGTGATTGACTTAGTTCGCATTAGATTTTCTTTCCTACTGTCTTAATGAAATTTAAAAAAATAGAACAATAAATCTCCTAAATAATAATGGTAAGTAAGATATGAAGCAAAATTGTAATTTATAGTCCAAGTACATATAGGATTAATCTAAGGAAACATGTAATACAATTGGGTATATAGTCCTTAATGTCTCTTTTCTAGAGACAAAAACCTATAAATTTTGATTTCAAGGCTGCTCACCCCTATCTAATCTATACTCACCAGATTATGCTAACCATTAAGATTACCCATTGTCGGATCAAAAGATTTTAATTATTTTTCCTTCTTTTTTTAAAACCATTTTCTCCTCTTTTTATTTATGAATAATTACATAAATTCTCATGAAAAAAAATGGTTGAACAAATAGATATAAAATGGGTATTATAAATGTTTTTATATATGCCTTGGTTGACAAGAGCATTTAAGGATAATGCGAAAGAAATATAGCGTTCCTTTGGAATAAATGGATATATCTAATTAACATTGTAACCACAAAACTCTAGTTGAAGCCTCCGATCTTAATATTTGGAATAAACCATTTGGAAAATCCACGATTTGCAATGTTCTCGTCTGGAAACAAACGTTCAATCTTTCCATCATTAAGGTAGAAAATACCGGATCGAGGTGAACTGATTGGTTTCGGACCTCGATCTGTATAAACGAATGAATCTTCCAAAAAGTAGATGCAATTTCTAGAACAATTTTCACCTGGAAGGGATACTGCATCTACCCCATCGACGAACAACGTTTGGTCATCTAAGTTGCTTAACCTTGTTAAACATAATGCGTCACTTGCTTCAACCTTGAATACTTGGAATGTTACAACCCGATAGTATGGAGTTTGCAGCTGGTCATTATGGTCGCCCTCGTCGCCCTTGTCGTCTAATATTTTAAGAACTAACAATAACTCGCCATTGGAGTTCACCAAATATGGTATTACCATCCAGCTTTCGCCAGAGAGACCTACCTCTCCAACGGGATATTCAAAAAAGATTAAGGAACTGATCTTGAACATCGGAAGAGGGATTACCTTCAAACGAACATGATGACCATCTGGTAATTTTATGGAATGAGTTTGAATTTGAAGACTGACCATATCGTTTTCAGTTGTAATTAAGGCATATAATGTCCCATCACAGAACGAAATACTTACGTAACGACAATCCTCAGGTATGTCTAGCCCTTCAAGTAAGGTCCACCTCTTATCCTTTGGTCTGCACAATGCCAAAAGACTTTCATCACCAAAGATTGCTGCAACCACGGATTGGGATGCATCCTGGGAAGATATTTCAAATTTAGGGAAGATGATGTTTGAATCTTCGGAAGCTGATCTTGTTGTTGACATGGGAGGAAGTGGAAGTTGAACCCCTGAAATTGGATCAAGCAGAAAAGTTTGCAGATTATTAGTTGTCGTGTTCTCCATGTATACTGCAAGCCATCCTTTGGAAGCCCCAGTAGTAGCCCCTTCTGGTGTTGACTCAGGGAGATTCAGATTTCCAATTGCGCCATCACCCAAGTCAAAGTAGCTTATAATCATGTGATCGCAATCTTTAGTATCATCGTCGAGATGGTGCAGTAGAATCCAAGTGGGTCGAGGAGTTTGCTTTAGGGCTGAACTCCATTGTTTGCACACGCTGCTGGCGTGAACACGATCCACTAATGGGAGGCGCTGAAAGATTAAACCCCATATGTCAAGAGGAAGTTCCGCCCATGGCGGATGAACCATATCTATATTTTGCATATTCCTTTTAAAATTGACTTGGAGACAGGAGACGAGTGAGTTCTGCCTTTGCTGAATATAGCTGATGAGAGAAAATCAAAGAAGCAAAGAGATTAGACAAGGTATCTATCTAATTTAAAGTTTGCCTATTGATACTATTTCAATATATAAATAAAAGATGAATTGTGATCGACTTAACTCAATTCGAATTAGGATTTTCTTTCCTACATACTTTCAATGTTATTTAAAGGAATAATATAATAAATTTCCTTTGTAATAAATGTGTATAAGATGTGAAGTAAAATTGTAATAGTAGTGGGAGTGCATGTAGGATTAATCTAATCAAACATGTAATACAACTGTGCATATAGTCCTTAATCTCTCTTTCAAAATTGAATTATCATAGCCTTTTGTTACCATTATCTCTTTTAATAATTAATATTGTCAGGTGTTGGCGACAGAGAAAAATCATGGCCAATTGAAGGGTTTCTAACCCTGTATTACTTGAAATATAAGAATGGCTCAGACCAAATGATAATACTAAGAGCCCATGAAGGAGTTCAGCCAATCAGTCTAGCTTAGCAATTACAGCATCAACAACTTCTTGTGTATGGTTCGAAATTATACTATTTTAATGACAAAATGATTATTAAAGAAAAAAAAAAAAAACTCCTTCTTGTGTAGGGCCTTTAAGATTACTCGCTTGAATCTTTTTCTAGGATTTATAAATTTAGTATGCTATCATGTGTTATATGATATTAAAATATTATTTTTTAATTATACAAGTATTATATGTGATATATATTTATTAAAAATTATAAAATTTAAAGTTGATTTAACGTATATATATTTCAAGAATATTATTTAAAATTGATTTTTAATCGTGTCATATTGTAAAGTCAAATCTTAAAATGTTATGTATCCCTAAGATTGCTCATTGTAGGGCACAAAGATTTTTGTTATCTTTTGTTCTGTTTTTTCCCTTTTAAATAAATTTTCTCTCTTTTTTATTTATAAAGAAGTAATAAAATATCCTATTAAAATTATGAAGCAATGTATAAAATAAATAAAGAGACAATGAGAAAC